ACAATCCAACATTTTTCAGTCAGGTAATCTGGACAGTTTCTTTTTTTTGGGCTGAAACTGGTTTGTTCCACTTTGGAGGAAGCTGTTGGGGGAAGAATTAATTTTGTTGTGTTTCCTTGACTGATGAAGCCTTCTGGATCGTAGGCGAAACGTTTCAGCACAAAAAAAAAAACTGTCCAGAGGACCTGACTGAAAAATGTTGGATAATCCAGTTTTATTTGATGCTATTTTTAAGGTCACATTTAAATTTTTTTTGGTCAACATTCTAGAAATGCATCACAAACATCAATAATTGATAATCCAACATTACATCCAAAAAAGTTAAGCCAGGTCATCTGGACAGATTCTTCTTGACTGAAACATTTCGTTTTTAATCTGAAAGACTTTATCTGTCTGAGGTCATGCCACAACTCTGTCCTAGAAATAACACCTTCTCAAAGTGGACAAAACAGTTTGTTGGAGACTTCCAGAAGCAGCTTTTCACATGTAAACAGGTGGACCATCAGTCTAACAATAGATTTGCCAGTAACCTAAATGGTAAATGGACTGTACTTGTATAGCTCCTTTCTATCTTATCAAGATACTCAAAGCTGTTTACACTATAATCTGTGCCTCATTTACCCATTCATACAGCACTCTACTAGATCTATACAAAGAAAAGTCCGTGCTTTATCACATTCATACACCGATGGAACACACGTCAGGTCTCTTATCACATTCCACATATCACATTCAGGTCTCTCTTGTAAATGAACCCCCGAGGCTCAATGGGATTAATCTGTATAAAGGTTGAATGAAACATCAGAGGCAATGATGGGTTCAGTGTTTTGCCCAGGGACACTTCGGCATGTGACTGCTGGCGGAATCGAACCCCCCTACTCTTGCATTGGAGGCTCAGCCACAGCTGTACCAACAATCGATCATTAGTGCCCTGATGGCTGCTTGCTATTCACAGAACCAGCCTGAAGCAAACCTGGTCAACTCATTAAAATATGTTATTCTCAACATGTCCAGTAAAAACTGAAATAATGTTCATTGTTAAAGCTGGGGCCAGTCTTTGTTCAGTGTACGGGGAGACATTGCAGTGGCCAAGATGGTGTAGAGGCAGGGCAGCCGACTCGGGACCCGAAGGTCCCGGGTTCGATCTCCACTCATTGCACACCTCATGGTGTTTCTGAGCAGGACACCTCATCCCCAGTTACTCCTCGTGTGCTTTTAATAGCTGTACACTGCTCCACCTGGTGGTGGACGGGTTAAATGCAGAGAGCCAATTTCACCCTTGTATGGGAACATACAATGATGACAACACACACACATTATTATTATTGCCTGTTTCAAAATGCTTTTCAGTTATTTAGCAAGACAGACAATTTTGAATAGTTTTTGCATCAATTTTTTTTGCTCAGAACATAAACTGTTATTCCTGGTCAAACAAAACAAGTTTTCTGAAGCTAAAATTCTTAGTTACTGGCTTCCTTACGGCCTTCTGTAAATGTTCAGCACACATTCTGAACTGTCTGAGATGTGTTGACTTTAGTCATCAACATCAGTGTTTCCCCTACCGTTATACAAGCAGGGCGCCCCGCCTAGTCAACAGAACCGAGCGCTCTGCCTACAGGCGCCTGCCCCCGGCGACAACTGCCGGCACTGAAGTAGCACTAAGCTAGCGGCGCTCAATACAGACGCGCTAGCTAAAAAGCTACAGCACTCAGTTTCCATCACCCCCGATCAAAAACTATCGGTACAAACAGTTCGCACAACACCGATGTCCCCCCCCCCCCACCTACCCATCGACAAAAATCACGGAAGATAAGAGTGCCCTGCCAAGGCGAGTAAATTAGGGGAAAACTGAAAATTTTAACTTTAATGTGGTTCTTCCAAAAACTGTCTGAGAAAATGTCTTGTAAAGCTCTGACCCTTCACATGCTTTATATGAGCTTGAACTTAAAATTCACTTCATAATTATTTCATTAAATCAAATTGTTGTAACTGAGTTCTGTTTGACTGATTGGTAAAGATCACTCTACTGGGATCACACCTGTTGCTTTGAGACAACTTTAGTTTCCGCTAATATCACTAAAATTAAAAACATCTTACCTAAAAACGATGCATAAAAACTGGTCCATGCATTTGTCACGTCTAGACTGGACTGTTGCAGTGGTTTATTATCTGGGTGTCCAAATACTTCTTTAAAACATCTTCAGTTGATCCAAA